ACCACCAGTAAAAAGAGAGATCTAGAGCCGGTATGATTCATTACAACTCCTTACCAAATGATGTCAGCATTACTGCGGTGTTGTACTATGAGAAAATGGGCACAATGATCGAAAGGCTCGCAAATTTCTGGCCAGTGTTGGTCCTCTCGTCCCCGCTGCTCCCACACGACAACACAGGACCTCATACGACACTACAGACGGTCTCAAAGCTACGTGACCTAGAGTTAGAAGTTTTGCGTCATCCATAGTACTCACCAGACCTTACGCCAACAAGATTTCTACTTTTTCCAAAGTTGACAGGGAATAAATTTAATACCCGAGAGGCACTACAAAATGCCTTTGAAGTGTTTGCTAACTCCGGTATACCAGACTTCTTCAAGAAGAGCATTGAAAAATTACTACTGCGCTGGCAGAAATGCATCGAGTACCATGCGTATATATTAATATTGATAGAAATTTAAAAAATTATTAGCTTTCTGTTCACTAAGCGGTAACTTCGTATTAAGGACCTAACTCTCTCTACGACGTTACGGCATTATCAAAGTTTGAAGCATAGCATAGTCAGAGTTATTGAGACATCGATCTTATATCTCAAACTTAATGATTTACATTCGGTACCTACAATCTTTTTTTATATTTTTTATTGCCTAGATATGTGGACGAGCTCACAGCCCACCTGGTGTTAAGTGGTTACTGGAACCCATAGACATCTACAACGTAAATGCGCCACACACCTTGAGATATAAGTTCTAAGGTCTCAGTATAGTTACAACGGCTGCCCCACCCTTCAAACCGAAACGCATTACTGCTTCACGGCAGAAATAGGTGGGGTGGTGGTACCTACCCGTGCGGACTCACAAGTAAGTGAGTCATCTCAAGTAACATTTATCTACGACAACTTATAGCTCGAAAACCATAAACTCACGAATATTTTTTGTTTTTACATCTAGTACCTACCCTTTACCAATGATACCATTGGTAAAATGTTTCTTTAGGAGTAATAAAAGACAAGAAACTTAATTTACATACATAATAGTTTTAATACATTTTTAATTTCAACTTCAACTGTAGTTTTCACAAAACAAAACTTGGTCCGATCCGAAATCGTATATTATTACATGAAATATTTTGCAACATAATTTATTTACTTATGCTCTAATTCTTCTATTTAAGATACCGCTGCATATTACCTAGAATTGAATTTTAAATTTCCCACAGTCACGATTTTTTTTATTTCCCAGAAATATTCTAAAAAACTCTGTGGAGTGGTTTTTTTTGGAAAATTTTTGAAAATTAGAAAAACTGCTTCAAAGTAATCTATAAAACAGTATAGCTCAGGTTATCGATGTATTTAGAGATAATTAAATTTTATATTATTATTGTCATGAAAATGAATAGGTAGTGTTGATGCGTGTATTATAGAAAGTTATTTAAAATATGAGTCACGTTTACTGAAAATTTAATGAAGGCAGGCGAATGAATCCACGACGCAGATCTACTTATGACTTTAAATTCATGAAGAGACTATTTAAATTCGTTCCCGTCAAATATCCCAGCGGCATCCAAATAGGAATCATATAAATAACTATAGTAAATCCACAAATTAGTTTACATTCAAATTGATTACCACTAAAAATTGACAGATAAACCAATAGCCAAACATTTTGTGCCGTAAAACGAGTGTGATCATACACGTTAACTGTCTTAAAACTAATTTACATATTTATATTTTATATATATTATATTAATTAACTATTTACAATAAATGCAACATTAGATATTTCTAGAACCTGTGCTTTGTAACAATTTATTCGATAAACGTTTTCGGTGCAATCTTGCATTTTAATTATGCACGAAAATGCAAGAAAGCCTCAACGCACGTAGGTATTTTAAAATGAAACATTGCTCAGATGGAAAGAGGAAAACGGGACGGTAATTACTCTAAATATTTATTTTAGCAGAGAAGAGTTATCTTAGGACTTCGAAAGTACTAAATAGAGTAAGAGAAGTGAAGATTTTCATCAGGATAAAGAGGATTTAAGGTAGACTCAAATCAAATGAGTTCTCTTTTTATTTTAGGTAATTCAAATCTGTTTTCTTCGATCGGTTTCAATATCTGCACCGCGTCGTCACTCAATACGCTGTTAGCGATGTTGGTACAAGGCAAGAATGTCACATTCGACTTCACGTTTTGAAGCTTCGTAAATACAGACAGCATTTTAATACGCGTTTTGTGCCAAAGCCTTTGGTTTAGCAGCAAGATATTGTTGGACCAGAAAGAAAGAAAAATTTCGAAAGTAATTAATGCTTTTAAGATTAAAGCCCAGACAAGATGTTTAATAACCACTTATCGCTCCGACTATCACTTTTAAGCCAGATGCAAATAAATAGAAAATGGTTAAAAAAAACCCTAATATACTATGTCCTTAATTCGTACCAAATCTACAAGCTCGTAGAAATACTTGAAGGTATCTACGCCGTTCTACAATGACTGAAAATTCAAAAGCAATTCATATATCATTCTTATACCTTAGTCAGTTTTCATGATATCTAAATAAGGCAAAATGGCACTTATGACATTTTTGTTTTATCCATTCAGAATACATGAATTGCTTCTATATTTTCAATCGCCAACTCTAAATTCTTACCGATGATTATGATTTGCTAATACATACTTTCTTCTTTTGTATATTATATATGAAATATAGGAAATTTTATTCAGAAAAAATCATGTATAAACCATTTCATAGTCTTCATTCGAACGATATGCATAAATTTCAAGATGGCAGCTTAAGTTTGCTATTAGAACGCTATTAGGTATTGATAAGTTTCATAGCCCCAATTAGTATCAACAACTGGATTATAAAGGAGGTAAAGTTAAAGAAATAAAGTTACGGATTAATTGTAAGACTAGTAAATCTTTGAAACAATCGAGTCTTAGTATTAGTAAAGCTAAGAGAGGCATTACAATATTAATAGTCAACTTGCAATATACAGTCATCGAAGAGCCCAAATAGTTACTGATCTGGATTAAATTAACTAACTTATCTATTTACACATTGTTACTATGCAATTCCAGTTTTGTGTCCGACTGTACCTGTATTTAATCAATAAAATTTCCGGCTTTATTTTTTCTAATTGTGTTTTATCTTGATCACGGTCGCAATCAAACCTCGAGCAACCACCGTAATAAATTTTATTTGATTTCTATTGCCTTCTTCTTTTGTCTTTAGTTCGTTAAATCTGGTATCAATCCATAGAAGACTGATATCTATTTTAACTTACCAGCGACCAACACTTTTCACAAGCCATTCGTGTACACTTTGTACTTTATCTACGCGTCTACATCGGCATGTACTTAACAAATTATTTCGTACTTATTTTGCATAGATCCTCTTAACATGCAACACATTTTTTCTACTTTGAATGTTGTGTTGCATTATTTTTAGATTTACACTGCTAATAATGGATGGATATCTATGTGCGGAGATAATAAAAGCTACAACGCTAAAAAAGACGAAGATCCAAGTCGCCCCAAAATTAAGTACCGCCATAAATTAAACCTCTCCAGTTAGCTGTATACCACTATCGGTAATAATTGAATTGTCAAGATACTTCTCAAGTCTTGTTATAGTTTCATTTACAAGTTTCAATTTATGCTTTTTTTATTTTATTTCGCCAATTGAGAATCATACTGAAAGTCTTCTATTAGAATTTTATTGTCTGTACAGTCGGACATTTCTCAATGAAATTTCGTTCATATCAAATACTAAAATCGATTGCACAAGTGACAACTATAACATAAGAATATTTATTATTTACAATGACTACAACACTTGCGAATCAGTCGGTATGTCTCCTCTTAATCTATCGACTTAGTTCCCTAACATTCTGAGGTCGTCCCAATGATCGTGTAGTTTATTAATTACGAATGCTCTTTCACATTCATCATGCCACCGTTTATTTCGTATGTGAAATATAGCCTTGGACCAATTTGAAGTGATACACCTTTTTAATTTATATTCGCTGACATATTGTTTTCAAATTCATACAATTTATTATATTGGAAACCGCCTCAGAGAGCAAAGCTGCGATCCTCGGTCTGGGTCGTACCTGGTCCAGAGATTATCCATTGCCATACAGCGTGGCAATGCTGCTAGCGTAATGGGTACTTTCGGGCCGGGTGCGATCCAGAGTGGCTTGTTTGATTAGTCGATGCCTACGCGCGCATTACTGTTAGCGTGGACCTATATGTTACTTATGACGATGCTTGTAGCTGAAGGTAAGTATTGTACTTTTTGACGAAGCTTGTTGCTGATAACTCTATTTCTGTAATCTGACGAAGCGTGTTGCGGATAATAATATGTACTTTTAGGTTATTAAACTTCCTTGCATTTTGATTGCAAAATAAATGATTTAAACTATTACAACGTGTTTTCCAATAGAAATAGGCTAATAGTTCTTAAGGAACATAATTTTTCAGTACGTCCGCGAGCCGTTTGAAGAACAGACTAAATGTAGTTTAGTTTAGTAGTAAATATACTTTTATGCAAATTTATATGTATAGGGAATAGGACATTTCGTAATAGTTAAGGTGTCACAATGTTCAGATCATCTGTTGACATGATAAATGCGAGTGAACCCAACATCCCTCGATGCTGACAGGACGAAGCGACTAATCTTAAATCGTTTTCTTACACATCACTTGAATCCTTGATATGTCCATTGTCTTTTGATCTGCTGTCGATTTAGCGTTAATGGCTTTTAATACTACACATTTTTGCTTCTTTCTAGCTTTAGCAGTTATTGTTTCTACTTCAGAGCTTCAGATAATATGTAGCTCACTTAGAGGAGGGTGGTCACAGACACCTTGAAACACAGTGATACCACGACCAACTAAATATAGAGGTCTTTTTTGGAAACAAGCGTTGTGTATGTCTGTGTCTACCAAACTGCGGAGAAAGACTTTCTAGATTGAACTGATAAACTCTACATCTTAGACCATCAACACTGCTCTTTTAATATCAGTGTGTTGTTTACAGCGTGTCGTGATTAAGCCATTAACATTAAATCGGGTTATTGTAGCGTCTGTGGTCTAGACGTACCACTCCTTGATTCCGTCCCTCTTGACGGGGTGGGGCGGGGGCGCGGCGAGCGGCTGCAGGGGTCGGCCCGCGCCCCCCTGCCCCCCCGCCGCCACGCCGCCCTGCACTCCCGTCTGGTATCCAGAGTGACTCTGCGCGGACAGACACTGTGAGCATACACTACACTCCTAAACTTGAAGTCGTCGTGGCCTAAAGAATAAGACGTCCGGTGCATTCGTATCTAGCTATGCAACGGTGTTCGAATCCCAGGCAGGTACCAATTTTACTACGTACCTAGCAAATGTTCAAGGTTGACTTCCACGGTGAAGGAATAACATCGTGTAATAAAAATGAAACCCGCAAAATTATAATTTGCGTAATTACTGGTGGTAGGACGTCTTGTGAGTCCGCACGGGTAGGTACCACCAACCTGCCTATTTCTGCCGTGAAGCAGTAGTGCGTTTCGGTTTGAAGGGTGGGGCAGCCGTTGTGACTATGCTGATACCTTACAACTCGTATCTGAAGGTGGGTGGCGGCATTTACGTTGTAGATGTCTTTGGGCTCCGGTAACCACTTAACATCAGGTCCACCCATCAATGCAATAAAAAAAGCTGTTCCGCTGTCACAGGCTGAGACAGGGAGTCCATTCCAGAGCCGAATGCTTTTTGCAATTTTTTAAACTTTGCCCCTCACTCACTCCCACCACTTTAATTCTTAGGTAGTCAGAATTCACAATGGAAACTCCATGAAAATATTCTAAACTAATTTTTTTTCCTGCCTAAGCTGATGGTCTTGAGAGACCATTTCAGGTACCCTTAACAAGTACGTGAGCTCACGAAGCTCAAACCTGACGTCTTTGCTAACACTAACCCTAGCAAAGAGCAGTGCTTCGCAGAATCTACCACCGGATCGGAAACGCGACTCACTGAGAAGATCAGGCGGGAAACTCAGTGAGTTATGTCTGTGGGTGAACTATAAAGATTACATCAGAAAATACTGAATGGAAATGTTGCTCAAAAGATAAAATACCTGGTTGCCTAGCAACGCGGCGCTGGCTCCTTGCTGGTAATTCTTGTCCTCTGTGACCTTGTACGAAGGGTCGAACTTGAACACGATGTATTTGAGCACAATTATGACTATCAATATTATGGCTATCAGTATCGACGCCACTATGCCTGTAACAAAAGAAAATTCTGTCATCGTAACGACCTAAGCTTCTTTTGGCGACCCCTACTTCCCTTCCATCAGCAGCAATAGTACTGTCATTATATTTTCTAACTTAATCCTCCTTGCTAACCTATCACGTTTGCCTGCACAATTAACCAAATTAATTAACTGGCAATGTGGATATCAGAGTCACGGTTATAATTGAATGAGTACATATCGTCTCTCAAGGGTATGTACCACCCTCCTACCTAAATCTCCCGTGAAGCAATCAAGTTTTTATTTGAAGAGAGCAGCCGTTAATTACTGGTGGTAGGACGTCTTGTGAGTCCGCACGGGTAGGTACCACCACCCTGCTTATTTCTGCCGTGAAGCAGTAACACGTTTCGGTTTGAGGGGTGGGGTAGCCGTTGTAACTATACTTGAGACCTTACAACTTATATCTCAAGGTGGGTGGCGTATTTACGTTGTATATGTCTATGGGCTTCAGTATCCACCCATCTAAGCAATAAAAAAATATTACTACAATAAAACTGAAGTTGGTTCCACAGTTAATGGTAATATTGTTGATGTCCATGGGCTCCGGTAATAATTTAATGTTGGATGAGCCGTGAACACATTTACTTAGCTAGGAATAAAACTCACCAACGATAGTGGCAAAGAACTCCGACTCTGGCGGCACGACTCTGTTGTCCGTCGTCTTCGGGTGATACCACTTGGTGGTGATCTCGTGCTCGTAGCCGTTGTAGTCCGGGTGGACTCGCCCGGGCGCTCTGTCCTGCTCCCCCTCGATCTCGTAGGTGGGCGTGCGAGCTTCTATCTCGTTCTCGTTGCGGTCTTCGTACTCCGGCATGTGGTTGGTGTCCTCGGCGGTGGTGTGCGTCGGCTCCTCTTCGTGGCGATCGGTCGGAGTGAAATGCGCGGTATGCGTGTGGTCTTAAAGACGATTTTCCATTGAGTGGATTATAATAGAGAATTTAGGATTATTGTCGGGTAAATAAATTTTACTGGTGGTAGGACCCTCTTGGGAGTCCGCACGGGTAGGTACCACCACCCTGCCTGTTTCTGCCGTGAAGCAGTAATGCGTTTCGGTTTGTAGGGCGGGGCAGCCGTTGTAACTATACTAAGACCTTAGAACTGATATCTCAAGGTGGGTGGCGCATTTACGTTGTAGATGTCTGTGAGCTCCAGTAACCACTTAATACCAGGTGGGCTGTGAGCTCGTTTGCCCATCTAAGCAATAAAAAAAAAGAAAACCATATTCAATGGTATTGTTGTTGATGTGTATGGGTACTTTTGAATGGTTTGTGATTACGCAGACCACATTTCATATTTATGTCAATAATATGTTCAATCCATTGGCGAATTTTGAACTCTAACACTTAAATGATTTAGCGTTAAAATAGTACAATCACAATCTCACCGTCCGGGGTTGTCTTTCTGTTGGTCTCGGTGTGCACGCCGAACGTGGCGGCGTGGATGTTGTCGTGGTCGGGCAGCGTGGTGCGCGGCACCTCGTGTGACGTCACGTCGGGTGACGTCACGTCGGGCCGCAGCCGCTCCGTGGTGGCGGGCGCGGGCGGCGTCATGCTGTGCGTGCTGGACGACATCGACCTGTCAACACGAGAGCAGACTGAAGATAGAACGTTCTAGAAACTGAGGGAAGTACTGCTACGAGCTGGGACCCCGGGTAAAAAAAACCTCAACGAAATCTATACATATAAATAAAATTAGAGTGTCTGTTTGTAGTATTGAAATAACCGCTTTTTAATACATGTATATGAATATATATACGGTACATACATCAAAATAAATTTTTTTGTCTGTCTGTCTGTCTGTCTGTCTGTCTGTCTGTTTGTTCCCGCTAATCTCTGGAACGGCTGGATCGATTTGATGAGACTTTCACTAATAGGTAGCTGATGATATAAGGAGTAGCTTAGGCTACTTTTTGAACTATTGCATAGATTTTATCGCGGGCCTTGAGCGCGGCTTGAGAGCGGAATCGTGAAATTCCGTAACGAAAAAAACCTTCCACCCCTCACTACGCCTACTATGTGGCTCGCGTTCAAAACATTCACACGTTGCGCTTGTGTAGTGTCTAAAGTAAGAAGTCTAAACACCGATTTATGTACTATGAAAATAAGTGATATAATATCGTGGGTAACACAACGAAGCGCGATTCAGCTTTTGCGTCAAGCGCCATCTATCGGCGACAAACGGAATTGTAAAATAAAAAATTATATCACATTACAATGCGTTGGGCGTGCCATTTTCTATCGCTTAGTCGAAGAATTTAATTACTACTCCTACTACTTATTCAGTGATTGGAGTGGCATTAAAAATAAACTAGCTAAACCATTGATTCTGAACGAATGAGAGTTAGAACCAGCATCCAAAGGCGTGTCTCTATCCCATGTAGCGCCCTCTAGTAGCAGATTCATTGAAAGTTAGCCCACTGAGTTTCTCGCCGGATCTTATTTTATTGTTGTTTTAATATTAAATTATTATTGTCGATTTATAATTGCATAAGTTGATAAAAAATGGTATGCAATAGGTTTACCGCGGCAGTCTCCGAGTGCCACACGTCTTTTTTAGACTAGCTTCGCCCCGCGGCGTTACCCGCAGTTATTGTCTTACCGCGCGTAACATGGCGGGCTTCGCCTATCAATAATAAGATTTACTGTTTCCAAAGCGAAGCGAGGGCAGGTCGCTAGTACTAAATAAAACTGTATTCAATTATTGCGACACTTAAAACTTCAATGTCACAATTCCTTTCTTCCGCTTCACTACAGGTGATCTGTTAGTTGTTTGGCTTTCAAAAAAATTTACTACTAACTACCTTATTGTCAACTCTCCAACACTTTGATCATGGTAACAAGATGTCCACAATTTTCTAGAATATTCTCGATAGTACTAGACATTTCGATATCCGTTCGATGCTTGTACAACAGATGGCGTTACTCGTATCGCCATAATTGTTCTCGAACGTTCCCTATCGAGGATTGTTTTAATATCTGTTTTTGTTATTTGACGACAGATGGCGTTACTCAAAACAGTACTCAGTTACCTTACAGTTACCTTAAACTTAACATTAAACATTATTATTTATTAATTTAAGCAAATATAATTGTTGTTTTAGTAACTTCATTATGGCTGATTCCGCGCGTTAACTGATGCGTGACAAATGCAAAACAAAACATCGAAAAAAGTCGTACTCCAAACTAATATGAGCAAATGAGTTTATAAAATGCGTCATTCGTTCCGTTTTGAAGGTATTCCTCGTTGTATCTTATACATATGGTGTCTATAGGTTCAACTTCTAAAAATACATTTATATCCTTTAGGAAAAAGTTTAAACTTTGTGTCCAATATCCATAGAACTAAATCTAATACCGACTAGTGTAGTGCTTGACTTCTTCAATGTCTGACCATCACCACTAGCGTGATAGAGCATGGACGACTTAGTGCTAATGACGATGATGATGATGATGATGATATATCATGCAGTGTTGTAGCTAATCTACTCACGTTGTCGCCGGACGTTCTGGTTCCGTGATCTCTTCGCCGTTGGACCCTGAACCCTCGATGCAGTCCTCGTCATCGCAAGGCTTCATCAGCTTCCCGCTCGTGTCGCCCTGCAAACGACACGTATACACTGTATTTCACTGCGGGACGCAATACACGTTATGCATTTCGTGTGTCTCTCTCTAACACCAGTGTTAGAAGAGGATAACGACACGTTCAGTTCCCGGTAGCTGATGGTTCCCGAATGTCGACCTGTGCCGGACACATCAATCGGTGTGGCTTTCATGAGGTAGGGATGGGGATGGATATAGACCACCTCATGAGCTTTAACCCCCGTTGTGCAAAGGCTCTGGTATATTAACTCAGTGGAACACCCAAATAGCGACCACAAACTTCTAAATTTGACCATTTTAATTCTGCTTTCACGTTTAATACCGAATGTATTTCGAAAAAGAAGACAAGCGATTTTTTATATGGCTCCCACTGAACTGACGACCATACGGCCCGGATAGTATGTTGTTATCGCCGGAACTAATAAACATCTCATCGCCGACTTTGACACACGGGACCGAATTCTCGATTGCTTTACAAAAAAGGCTTCGGAACCGCATGGATTGCTGCCGGACAGATCTGAGTGGATAACAGTACTTATCTGTGCTGGCTTACCCCTACAACTGTAAGTACCAGACTGCCCATTCTTCGGCGAAACCATTAGCCACATTTGCCACACTCATGGCAACGATTAATATGTTGCTATCTCAGCAAACATCTGGTTGTGCCAATAGCGTTGTATCTATCCTTAGACAGTGGAGGCATACGATGTGTTGACGTCACTGAATTTTAGTAAAACAAACCTTATGCGTCTTCGAAGGTGGTCTCCTAGTCGAAGGTACATAAACGGGAGTTATGAGGTCATCACCAGACCCCGCGTCGGGGAGTACGCAAGCGTCTTCGTCATCATCTCGGCATCCTGAGCCTGCTCCCGAGTACACGAGCTCGTCCAGTACTCCCGGCCCTCCGTAGCCCGATGGCGGGGTCTGAAACAATAAAAGAATTTCATTTATTTATTGGATTTGTATAATTTCACTATAACTGCCTATATCATGGAAAATACGGGGTAGGTGACCCCGATCCCGTCCAGCTATTACTGCATGCTCTTCAACATCCATAGAATCATGATGTTATTTCTATCTCAGTGTCTATTTAAAACAATGTGCAAATGATTGGTTATTAGGCAATTCGAAACTGTATTATACCAATGTAATTTTCATTAAGTTTTATTCTTATACCTTTTATAGTATACAGATTTTTATAGTATACAGAGGATTTCGGGGGCGATAAATCGATCTAGCTACGATTTATTTTCAGAAAATGTTGTTTTATTCGTGTTTTCAATCATCAACTTTATTGATAATCAACTTTATCGACATCTATGGGCGAATAATAATACTATTTTTCATAATTGAGAGCAACTAACTGCTTTAAAGACACAATAACACTAAAGCTATTTCAGCAGATGGCGTTGTTAAGCCACCCGAAGCCAATGAATGTTTGGTTTAAGGTTAGATCAAGAAAATGAATGGTTTATTTATATTATTTGTGTCTTTTTAACTCACGTGTTCACTTAAAAATGCCTAAACGATCTTGGAATATTTCATCATTTTGTTAATATGTAATTCGTATTTAAATATAATTTCTAAAAAACACAATTTATCAAAAAAAAAACAGGTCATCGTCTAGTTATTATAAATAGTTGTTAGAACAATAAAAGAAAAACACAAGGTCATATTCTTTTTTTTATTGCTTAAATGGAACGAGCTCACCACTAGTGTTAAGTGGTTACCGTAGCCCATAAACATGTACAAAGTAAATGCCACCAGCCACCTTGGGATATGATATGTTCGTACCTGTTGCATCCTGTTGATGTCCCTGTCGAGCGGCGCGTGCGCACGTCTGACGTCACCGCGCACGGACACGGCGGGGTCGCCGGCCGCCGCCAGCTCCAGCACGCGCACGCCGTCCACCACCAGCCCCGCCAGCACGCCGCTGTACGGGCGCGCCGAGCCGCCGCCGCCGCCCACCGTCACCACCGACATGCTGTTGAAGATCGTCGACTGCTGACCACCTACAACCAGAACGGTCCATAGACATCAATGGTAATGCCGTCACCCTCCTTGAGACATGACCAACCGTCAATTGTATTGTAAATCGCTGATCCCATAGTTCCAACAAGATGTCACGACTGCTTCGAAACCCTTGAATTATTTTAAGCTATTGCATAGGTTTTATACCGAATCAAGAAATTCCGTCACGAAAATAAAACCTAGCACCCCCACTCCGCCTACCATGTAGCTCGCGTTCAACACATTCACACGTTGCACTTGTGTAGTGTTTGTGAATAAGCGCACGGCGCGACGTCGCACTGCATGCGCATCATCTAAAGTCTGCCCATCTCTCTCTCGCGCGGTCTAGCTTATGAGTGTGAAGGGGACAGTTAATGTTTTGCTTTCTGCGGCAGTCCCCGAGTGCCACACGTGTTTTTTATTACAAACCTTAGCGGTCTGACTTTTTACGAAAAGTTCCCTAAAGTCAACTTTAAAAAATCTCTCCACCTTGCGGATGCCGAATGATGACGTCATAGTTGTCGAGCTGGAGCGACGACCGGCTGCCGTTCCTCGTGAACCTTGCCACGTGGTACGCTCCATCATCGACCCTGGTCGTCTCGTCGCCGAGCGGATGGTCACCGGCACCAACGTTATACACCATGAAAAGGTTTCCGCGAATCTGAAGAGCAGTTGTTGTTATTAGTATTCAAATTCAAATTCAAAATCATTTATTTCCACTTAGATGTCAGCATAACACACTTGTTGAATGTCAAAATATAAATAACAATCTTAACTCTAGCACCGGTTCCAAAAAGAGCCACAGTCCTGAGAAGAACCGGCGAAACAAACTCGGCGGGTTTTTTTTTGTTTTTTCTCAAATATTTTCTTTTTTTTAAAATAAGTAAAAATATTTACAATAAACGAAAAAACAAGTCAAAAAAAATATTCATTAAGGCCACATTAAGATCTTTTTAGACGAACGGAATTATGACTTGGTTGAAGATTTTCCGGCCTCACTTACAATCTCCATCTGCATATAATCTTGAGTGTTTGAAGACTCGATTTTCAGTAACACAGCATCTGCTTTGCTGGTGACGAATCCTAGAGCCACTTTGTCCGTCTCCGTATCCGCCACTGAGCTGGGCGGGAACGTGTAGGTTATTGTCCCTCTGCTTGGTCCGAATTCGTACGCTATTGATTCTGGATACACACAATACAAATAAGTTACAAAGTATTGAATCGTACTTCGTAATATTAGCCCTAAACACGTCATTACGAATCCTCCCGATCCATTAACTGTACTTTTAGGAAACACCGATGAGGAAAATTCATTCCAAAGCCGGATGGTGTGTCGCAGAATAGATCTCTGGAAACGCACTGTGAACTTTGGTCTAGTGATGATATTCTCTCAAACAATTCGACAGAGCGCTCTCCATGGACCATACGGTACAAGACCGAGACTTAAAAGTTCAAAACAAAATTTTACGAGTTTTACTTATTGCTAATTGTTAAAAATGGACCAGTCTCTGGGATTTGGGACCAAAGTCTGCCCGCGGACCCGTTCGAACCTTTCGAAACAAAAATTTACAAGTTTTCTTATAGCTTGATTGAAAGTTAATAACAAACCAGTGAGATCTGGGCTTTAGGATTTGGATTACCAAAATTACATTTTTTTTATTGCATTTGTAGGCAGACGAGCATACGGCCCACCTGATGGTAAGTGGTCACCGTCGCTCATGGACGTCAGCAATGCCAGGGGCAGAGCCAAGCCGCTGCCTACCATTAAGTACTCTCCGCAAGCCTCGTTTGAAGAAGGACATGTCACAGCGCTCGGAGAACACCGTGGAGGGGAGTTCATTCCAAAGCCGGATGGTACGTGGCAAAAAAGATCTTTGGAAACGCACATTACAAATTCTTGGATTGAATTGTAGAATTTAAGCTGCTGATTAGTCCACATCCGAGCAAAATGTTAAGAGAACATTAGGACACGTACCGTCGTAGCACGTGGGCCCAGTGAAAGATGTGAGGTCGCAATCACACACGTACGTGTTCCACTGCTGCACGCACACACCCTTGTTCGCGCATGCGTTGTGGGTGCACTTCGTTGGACCTGGAATAACGGCTCAATTTTGCACCAGTTAATAAATACCTAACGCCTTGCCGCATTTCCAAAATTAATATCTAACTGTTGAACGTAAATATGTATATGTAAATATTTACGTACGTATACTCGTATTTCTTATTCGTATTAGGTATACTTGTTAAGTTAGATTAAGTCCGCCAATTTACGATAATGGACATTAATTGTTTTAGATAATGTAAAAAATGCGGTAAATTTTCCTAATCAAATCGACGAGCGAATCTCTGGCTTTCTCTCGAATCTCTTTGGATCCTCCAGAGTACTTCAGGCACATTTTAAAAGTATTGAAATTTAATTACTGAGGATTTTAATATCCAGTAATCACCTGTGATAGACCAACGGACTTAGAACCAGCTAAAGCCTCTTGAAGATGTGTCATTCTATACTTTATGGTAGCCATAATTTCAGTATTGAGAACATCTCTTATCTTCAAATAAAAGCGAATACATTTTAGTATGGAATGGCCCCGATAAGGACTTAGTCAAATATAGGTCTAAAGCTTAATTCGTGTCGTAAAAACAAGGAAGAATCGTTAACATAAATACCTTCACATCCAGACCCCAAAGATGAGCTAGGTACAACGGCATCCTCTAATAATGATGGCGATTCCCCTGGCAGGTCAAGGCTGGACATACAACCTTCGAAACCTTGCCTGGAAAGTACGCCCACCGGCAGTACAGTATACATGTCCTTGGGCACGCCTCCTACGTACAAGACACTGTCCAGTTCCAACATTAAATTTGAGCCTGAAAATAAATAATACAATCTAGACATTGCTAATAAGGACCAATATCAAATGGCAAAAAAAACGGGTCTTTTAACTTACTAGTTGTGTGCATTTCGATGTCATCGTCGACTTGCAGCGTGTGTATCTTCGGCGTGGGTCGTCTGACCGACACGGTGTGCCAGCGGTTGTCGTTCAAGAAGTTCTTCAGTTTGTCCTTCATTGTGACCACGCCATCGCCCAGATTGAAGACGCAGTGAACGTGCCCACTCACCAGTTCTATGGCGATGAAATCCTGCTTCTTTCCGCCGTTGTAGAACAACAGACCGTCCATTTCTGTCGTTCTGAAGTAAAAGTCTAGATACGTGTTCGCGTAAGCCTTCAACAATGGCAGCCCCACGTACGTGTGCTTCGATTTGAATGTAACCGCTTTGTAAACGTTCAGGGAGTCTGGCTTCACGAATCTCCCGTTGAAAATTATATTCGACGTGTCGTATATACGGTTGTGCTCTTCGCCGCTTCCGACGCCGAGTGCTTTGGCCATATCGATATACTTGATGCCGTTGAAAACGAATTTCTGTATGTATCCAACGAAGTTCGGTAGTGTCGAGGTCATCTGGATTTCTTCCTCCGGGTGGTACAATCCGCCAAGATGCAGAGTCGATATCTCTAAAGTCGACGCCTTGCCTAGTATGGTTTCGGCTGTAAATTGGGACCGATAATTTTATTTATTGTTGACAGAGACGACGTTACACCTAACCACAACATCGACGGTAAATCAAAACAAAACTAGCAAAGTAAACAATTTAGTTTTACAGCCATTCGAAGGATTATGTACAGACAGAGATCAGCGCCACGACAGTTAAGCTTCACAGATAGATAGCTAATTTCCATGAACAGTTATAGTTAGCGTCTAGAAGAAGTATTGAATAATTAAAAAACAACAGGCTAATAAAACATGGTAAATGTTACGTTTTATTTATTTTAAAAGTCCTTTAGTAACTGACATTAACTTCGCACGAAAATCTGAACGGATTTTATCATTTAATCAAAATATTCATAATCTAATAGATCTACGCACATTTTTGAATTTAATATAACACATACATACAAATTTAGTTAAAACAAAAGTTACTACAGGGAAAAGAAATCAAATTAAAAACGAAGGAAAAAGAAATTAAAAGCATTCAACAAAACAGTGTATACAAGTGCCAGCTATAAACCAACCAAAATTAAGCGACTATCTACACAAGCGGGACGTCTAACATTTAATCACTCTCCTATTCAGCCCTGTAATAGGAGAGTGACATCAAAATTTGAGCTTTCTCGTTTCTGTACGAGAGATCTCAAACTTTTGTTGTTTCTTTTTCGGCTGTCTTGTTGCTTAAGGTATTGTGTAACGGGGGCCAATGTAGGATAGACGATATTTGACAAACGTCTGAATCGCGCTAATGACATTTTCAAAATAAATGTATATAAGTTACGAAGAGCAAAAACGGAACATTGCTCTACTGAAAAATATCAATCGCTCGATGGAAAACCCTCCCTTTACTATTTCCGTTAATATTGATTACCAGACGGAACTTATTTGTTGAGTCATCGCTTAAATAATTAATGAATAAGTTTAATAATGATTCAATCCTAAAACTGGTAGGTATCACGGAAACGCACATTCGGTCACATTTAAGAACTTTATTCCTCAAGGAATGTTTAAATGACTTTTTTAACTAGACTAGTCTAAATCTAAATTCACTGTTTACGGGACTAACGGGCGAAATAGCCGACTCCTCGTTATGACGTCACGATATTAACGCCGGCAGTGTCGACTAAATTTCTTAATACCCAAATTTTCTTTCAATAGTGAATTCATCGATCAATTTCATCAGTGACTGAAAATCAGCGCTGTTCGATTTATCGACCTTGAACAGCATTAGCTGAGCCACCTCTTTTTGCCTTTTTCTGTTTTTTCTTTTCTTTTATTTGTATTTTATTTTATTTAATGTGAAAGGCAATAAATTATTTTATTATTATTATTATTTCTATCGTTTGTTAAATTAACTATTAGTAAACTAACTGACCCGACAGACTTCGTAGTGCCTCAATCGATACATAAAAGACCTAAGCTTTTTTATAAAATAAACTTAAAACAAACAAAAGGAATCCGTCCGATGGGGATAAATCAAAGGAAAAACAAAATTGTTATTTTTATTTAATTCCGAGTATTTTCATATTTATCTACCTTTTAAACCTTCTCTGGACTTCTGCAAATAATTCAAGACCAAAATTAGACAAATCGGTCCAGCCGTTCTCGAGTTTTAGCGAGACTAACGAACAGCAATTCATTTTTAATATAGAGAATCCCGTGACGATAAATACCCGAGCAGTTACCGTTGGCACGTCACTATCATCTCCCGCGCGAGTGACATAGAGCTAACCAACAAGACAGCCCGTACCGACCTGACTACGGAGGGTAAAACAAAAGGGTGCGGGTGGTGCCCCGTACATACGTACATAACGTACCGCGCACCGAGGCCGCTCCGTCAACCTGCAGCCTCAGGTTCGAGGCCCGGCGGGAGAACCGGACCGTGTGCCAGTTGTCGTCCGCTACGTTAGTTCCTGCTAGAAGGTTCTAGAAGGCATAGCACATGTTGACACGTCTGACACAAGCCCTATGTTTTTTTTTTTGCTTAGGTAGGTAGACGAGATCACAGCCCACCTGATGTTAAGTGGTTACTGGAACCCATAGACATCTACAATGTAAATGCGCCACCCACCTTGTATGTATCTATAGGTCACTTGTTTTGACCGAACCATGGTCGTTAGTGTCAGGGGAGACTTCAAATCACATTTAACGATTGAGGTTAGAATGAGGTTAGAAGATTTCGTAATTATGAAAAGTGTTATTCAATATTGGGTTCTCCAAACATGACCTAATTATGTTAAATTGAACATCTGATTGAATCAAATGCAGATAAGACCCATCTGAAAAACTAAACTGGTTATGAGCATCTTATTTAAATCGTCCAGTTTATATTTGTAATATTGAAGCGCCACACTCGTGTCCTTGTTGATCCATGACCGGCAACAGATTCAACATTTAACTAAAATTACCTTCTCCCTGTCTCCAAGCCTGACGCTCGCTCTGATCCGACCGGCAGCTACGGCCAATTCTATTCGATCCGCCGAATGCTCTGATGCGGTTCGCAGCAAGAGACCAGCCCTACTGGTCCTGAATCGAAGCATTAATTCCTCCGTCTGGGTCACGTGCTCTGGCCCTAGAGACGCTGTGAGGTGCTGGCTGCCGTTGAGGAATATTGTTGGGGACTCTGTAAAAGTATATATATTTACTAACGATCACGCCACATTAACTGGTCCGGTGCTAAGTTCGTAAAGAACTTGTGTTACAGCTACCAGATAACGGAAATAAATGTAAGATTTTTATTATACACTTACATATATATAATATACATCCATAACCCTGGAAAAGACATTTTATATTTATCGCACAAATATCTTCCCTTGGCGGGATTCGAACCCGCGACCCCTTGTGTAGTGACCATGTCACTTACCACTACACCAGACGGCCGTTAAAGCGGTGTACGATAACGAATACCGTGGACATTATGTGACGACACGTATAATCTAATTTCAATAAATATTAAAAAGTAGATTAATTGTGTTTTTAGTGTTGCACCCCAAAGCTCATCCCTGTCAATCTTGCAATTTAAGAGTACTTTTTTCGCCACGTCCCGTTCGGCTGTGGAATGACATACCACGTCGGTGTCTACTAAGCGATAAGACACATCGTACTGCAAACAAGATTAGTCTATTTTGACTGAGCATATAGTAGACCCGTCAGTCTTCCACTTATATAAATGAATCTAAATTCTCGGTTCAGTTTCTGAGAATTTCCTGAAAATATCTATTTTTTTATTTTTTATTGCCCGTGTAGGCAGACGAGCATACGGTTCACCTGATGGTGAGTAGTTACCGTCGCTCATGGACGTCGGCAATGCCAGGGGCAGAGTCAAGCCGCTGCCTACCGCAGCTTTGATTTTATGAGATACGTTACCTCTTCCACAAGTTGGTCCGCCGTAGTTCGTAGCAGAACAATTGCACAGGGGTCTGTTCCACCCCTCGGAGCAGATCCCGCCGTGCTGGCACGGGGAACTCACGCACTGCTTCATCAGCACGTGGCAGGCTGGGCGCACTGATGCTGAGGACGGAAATATTTATTGTTTTAACAGTGGTGACTGATTAGAAGCGAGGACATTGATATATCAAAAATATACAGTTTATAAAAGATGTGTGGTGTCGTGGGACACCGGGTAGGAACGAAGTTATTTATTATAAAAATATTCATTTTAAGTTCTACTCGAGGTATAAAGAAAATAAAACTGGAGGCTTCGCAACAACCCATGGTCATTCGGTAACGTGTGAACTTATTTTGGTACACTTCATTCACGGTTGTTTGCATAAGAGTTAGTGTATTGCGCAAACGAACGCTCTGAGATCGCAGTCAATGAATGATAAAAAATATTATGTTATTTTTTGTACGTTATTACAAAGTTAAGTGTTAAGTCGTACACTGTGTGCATTACTAATAAAAATCTTACGTTACGGACGTTTTTTCTCGGTTAGCCCTCCGCATCGTCCGATAAGGAACTTCGTTCCAAAAAGTGATTGAGTTCCATTTTATAACAATTATTCCTCACATAGAAGGTAGCCCCAAGGCATGCGGCCTCGTAGCCGTACCAATGTTCTACGGCACACTAGCTAGATAATAACCTACCAACAAGAAACAACAGCTAGTCGTGTATTTCCTTGATGGGCAGTTGATCTAGCAACCCTCTTGCTATTAAGTGGCTAGAGATCACAGTCTGTATGCCATTACTCACAGTAAGACATGAAGTGGAAGTTTCAATTGCTTTATGACCCTTAAAACCAAAATGACTGCTTGGCAGGAGAAATAGAGTGGACGGTGGTATCTGCCGCGCGGTTTCATAATATGCCTTATCATCAGGCTATACAGTAGTCATATGTTTATCGTTTTATATTTGGGCCCAAACAAGACTCCGATAAAAGAAAAAATAATAAATACACGAGCTCACCGGAATCTTGCTGTCGTGCAAAAGCCGTCAGATCCTGAGATTTTCCGTTCAGTGTCAAGTCCCTAACGCAGCCAACGAAACCTTGTCTAAGGGCAGCCGTCCAAAGAACCGGTGGGGTTCTGGAAGCTGAGTACTCTGAACCGAGTCCACCGACGTACAGAGGACCGTCCAGCTCCAGCTGATTAGATTCACCTGAAAATCAAGAACAGATATACGCTTCAGAATTTAAGTTGAATGTTCAATATAGGGTATAGAATTCACTGATTTGAATCAATCAAATTTATTGATTCATCAAATTAAAATTTGATACAAGTATTGATTACAAACAACCTTATTCATGTCTGCGGCTGGTGAAAAATTAGAAATTTGGAAATAATTTTAAAGTGTAATGAAAGAAATTTCATATTGGTTCAAAGGGAAACCCAAATATTTTGGATTACGGAATTGGCAGTGAGTCGGATTCACTCTCAGTCTTGTAGGTAGCAAATTTAGTTTATGGCGATGACGTCAAACTCACCAGGAGTCTTAAACTCGGCGTTAGCACCATCAACAGTAACTCTGCCGTCTCTGCCACTTCTCCTCAGGAGAAAGTCATGCCAGAGCGAGTCGTCCACCCGTCTCCTAGATGCTCGAACCTTAACCCCGCCAGATCCAAGATCGACGTGCACGTAGATATAGCCATTGAGGATCTCCACAGCAAAAAGGTCAGCCTGCTTGAACAATTATTGTAATGGAATGCTTTGGCCTCTACCGGTAGCATCACGCAAGTAAAAAGCCTTTTGTGGTCGCAATCAACTGCTTTACACAATGCAAATGGTGTGGCAGAGTGTGTGCATGGTGTATTAAAAACCAAATGTAACGATGAAATAATCAAAAACTCATTGTTCCGTGAAAATTTGATATTCTCTAGGGATACAACCTGGACATAGTTAAATCTGATTAAAAGGTTAAAAAAATTACTATTATTTGGTACCATTCTGTTACTAGATATGTCAAAATAGGTAAGTCTAACTACCCTTACATTTATTGATCAATATGAGTGATTGTTCTTACGATACAAAAACTAAAAATACCTATTTTATTTTCTACAAAAAATGGGGTCGTAATCGCCATTTTCTTGCGAACTGGAAGGCTTTAAAACACCGATCGATAAAGGAGAAAAAAATTAGTAGGACTGCATTGAAAAGTCAATTTCGCCGAAATAGCGGTTAAGCCATATGAATCCTAGAGTATGAATATGTCCCTGGCTTCTTGGAGCTACTGAGTACCGATACTTCCAGTTGTGTGTGTATGCAATTGTCACGTGACCCCCTCATTACCCTCGAACGATTGCCTACGAAACCCTCATGCATTTCGATTTGTAGATTAGTACGCAGTAATAGCTACTTTATTCCAATGCAATTTTGGTCATTTATTTTACGCCCTTTTTATTATATTTAATTTAATTTCCATTTAGTGTTATCTCATTAAGATTTTATTTAAAAAAAAAGAGCGGGAAGAATCACCTCCATCTGACCTCAAGCTATGCATTCCTGTTCTATGAGAATAATGAATACGTATGTTTATTTATAAACTAGCGGCCCGCTCCGGCTCCGCTCGGGTCTTTAACAAAAATTTGAACGATATTTGACGTTGCTTTATTTTTATATAAATAAAAGAACACTTATTGCGGCATAACTATAATAGTTATACATAAGCTGTCGCAACCATTTTGGAAAATAATAATGTGTTCTACAAAGTCGTAGTACATTATTTTATTCTATCATCAATAGTTTCCGCAGGGCACGCGATGTAAAGAATATTTTAGGTAATTTTTTTACACCTTGGGTGACATTATTGGAGTTTTAGTAAGGATCCCTAATTTTCAAACATCTTTTTTTTTCAAGCCTATATCACTCGGGAATAGTGTAGCCTCCAAGCAGTGAAAGAATTTTTCAAATCGGTTCAGTAGTTTCGGAGCCTATTGAATACAAACAAACAAACAAATCTTTCCTCTTTATAATATTATAGATAAATCGAATTAAGACTTTGATCTTAAGCGGTAGACAGCGGAATATAGAAGAAACTTAATGATATTATATAAGAATCATCATAATAACAATAATCAACACTGCTCCCACAAAACTAACACGAAAGCCATAAAAGGCCAAACACCAATCGCTCTCAACTAAAGCGATCCAATCCGATGAATCGGTGCGAACAAGGCTTGAATGAAATCATTATTCGATTTCGAAAGTGTTCGATATTGAAAAACAAACACGTAAATTCAAAAAAGTACATTTATGAGAAGCACAAAAGAACCCTTTACCCATTAAATAAAACATGCAAATGGCCATTTATACCCTAACACCGAACGCGAGCCCTAGACACATAAATGGACTAACATTTAGTTACATCGATAATACCTCTCGTGAATTGGGTTGAAAATTATCAAACATCTAACGTCTAAACAATAACAGACTTAAATAAAACACTCTAACGTTTGAAAATTGTGTGTGTTTCGTACATTTTACAGATTCCATAAAAACTCTGAATTTGTAAATATAAAATTCAACCATGCGGGAACTTAAGCTTTATAAGTGTTTTAATTATGTCTATTACTCGTAAAAATATATGCTTTATTATTGATGTGAAACATCTATAGCCGCACGTAAAACCGATTTCTGGCGTGGCGACGCATGCCGTGACGACGCATGCCGTGGCGACGCGTCGACACGCTATATGATGGTATATATATACAATCTTTAAGCAGTAGTGTGTACGGTGTGGCGACGCGTCGCCATGCGCAATCGACTGTGCGATTCTCTCCTACTCGATCCGGCCTTAAGCCATCTCTCTCGCTACACTGAGCTCGGATACCTATAGTGTATACTCCGTAGGGTATACAGTGTTGTTTACTACAGTACACATAACCTGTGTTTTACTTGAAAACAAATTATTTTTTCGTAATATTTTATTTTATCATTATGACATATTTAGTTCCTATCACAATCTGTTCTTTTCTGCATATTACTTTTACAAAATAATGTCTATGTTTCACATCTGCCAGGCGTCCCGTGACGGGTCACATTTTTTATTTTAGACGGGCAATGTGCAGAAGGTGTTCAGTAATTATTGGAGTTCATTGATGAAAACATCTTACGTGTAGTCTAATTACTTACAATGTGCTGCCCACAAAATCTTTTTTCTATGCCGCTACAACAAGGTAAGCGTGTTCAATTCAATAAACTATATGCGGTTTAGCTAAATAATTTAAACTAATGATAATAAATAATTAGACAAAATTATTAAAATTACTAATACCATGTGTGACTCGAGTTATGGTGCGAATTTGTGTTGGTATAAAGCATATTAATACACTTATTATGATATAAAGTGACACATACAAGTGCAATAATTGAATTACATAATAAAATAAAGGGAGCTAATGCAATTTTACATTCAATTAGATTTACTTAATATTAATCGCTTTTTTTGGACGCGCTTGCTTTTAGCAGCCGTACCCATGTACTAGTAAAATGTACCAATGTGCTTGCTTGATAGCTATTCTAGATAGTCTTGACACTACATTATAAATACCGACCACTACCTTTACACATTAGATGGAAGTCTCAAATGTATTGTATCTATCTTACTTCTCAAATTGGTTCGCATAGTTGGAATCATCAAGCCCATAACATAAGCATAGTCATAACTAAATTGAACTCCTTCATAAATCTCTTGTAAAACTGCATTAAGTTCTATTATTTTATAATGTAACATTAATTTTTTCAAAGTTACATATTGCACATCAAATATAAGACACACAATTACACTTTTTTTTTTTTAGCTGTCCAGCTTTATGTATGGACTCTTCACGGTTCAATAACAATGACAACATCAACATTAAAAGTGCCAAGACGTAATGTGCTTCACGACTAAAGTGCGGTTCGAACACATACAAACACAATACAAAAGTGGGTGAAACTTTATAAGGTATTTTACCATACACAAATTCCCTTTGTTTTATGCAAAATCTGATGAATCATTTGATCCTATCATGCGTTTTGTCACAATGGAGCGTTTTGAAAAAGATTACACAGATTCAGTTTCATATTCAATATCGTTGTCACTGCATAATCATATTTTGTTACTTAATTTTCCGCCAAGAAAGTATTGTAGCAAATATGACATGCGAGCGACCCGGGATGCGGAAATGTAATATAATTTGAAAAAAGCTTCCACTCGCATACTTTAAACTGATTTCAAATATCTGTCATATCCATTGCGACAATATTGTTGGGATTTGCATTATTTTAGATATTGGGAATCTAGTATAATGTGATGTTTTTTTTTTTCTCCTATCTAAATATCTAATCTACAGATCCTATTAAATAAAAATACAAACTTTAAACATTTCGTTCTATTTTCTCGAAGACTTAAATATAATGTAAGTATTCTGCTAGACTCAAAAAGGCAGACAGTCATGAAAATGTAATTCAAATCAAAACATATTAATAAGTGATGCACTGGCCCTTGGAAAGAAAAGAAAGTCACAAGAAAGAAGGAAAGGAAGTCAAAGAAAATTCATCGCTGCTAGCTTTAGCTTTCACTGCTGTTAGATGATGAGATGATAACACAACAGTTGGTGAACGGTTACATATACTCATAAATGCAAAACGTGTAAACCAACTAAGTCTATCTTTTCTATTTTTGGAAAGTGTTCTAAGTCAGTACGTGCAGGTACTATAATCCTTCCTATTAAGGATAGAACAGATGCTCTTACAGTTGAAACTTTTAGGTCTCAACAGTGGTAGGATTCACGACATTATATTTGAGTTGTAGATCTAGTATCTACAAATCAAATATTATGTCATCAAAGAGAGCACTGACCTGGAAAGTGTCTGGTAAAAGGAAAAGAGGCCGCCCCAGAACAACTTGGCGTCGCTCGGTGGAGCAGGAGCTAAGGGTCTTGGGCATGACGTGGGAGGAGCTAGAACAGACTGCCCAAGACCGATACAAATGGAAAAATTTGATTCGAGCCCTACACCCCAGCAGAGGGTAATAGGAAAGCATGATGATGAGATCTAGTATCTATAACAATCCAAGTGGACTTTGACTTCATTAAATATGTTTAAGTTTTAAACGTTATTGAAATAAATAACCAAATTTTAAATGTACATGAACGCAGAATATTTTCGAAAATCTCTACAGCAGTATAGGAGAAGCTGGGAGGGGCTACATAGGGCTTTATAAACACACTACAAATATTTTTGGTGAATCCGCAAACAAAAAGACCAACGGAGAATGAACCAAAACATTTCCTTACAATTCCCAACAACGAAGCTCCAATGAATGCAAGTGATCTCGATGACGATAGTGATTATTATGATTAAATTGATCCTTCCACCCCAAAAGCTCCACCCCTTACCGTGCAACCTACCCTTGGTGGCTTGGCGCCCATGTTGAATAAGATCAGTCCGTTTGGTTCGTTCGTTCGAAATTTGAACGATATTGTTCCTGTCTTCACTGCTTCCCATTTTGGCAGTATCTGTAAATAGAAAAATAAGTTAATAGAGTACGTATTTATAGCACTTAACTAATTATCCAGAGGATTTTACATGATAATAGTCTATCCGGCCATTAAATATAAGATATAGATAGGAGCTTACGATCGTGACCAATTATTTCATTAGTGCTCCTAATGCTCTAAAGTTCTAAAACTTGTAAGACACATTTGAAACATTATCAAGTAAACGCTAATAGCACTTTGCTCCTGAAAATAAATAAAATCATTGGCAACACTCCAACTTTTATTGCGAGTGTGGTTAAAATTGACTAAGTATTTCTCTAGAGAGCTACCAACAGTATTTTCTGAGCATAATACTAGCATGCTTCGCTCAGCAATTGGCATTGAGTGCTGATAAAACGTATTGTCCGTCCGCATGATACCACTACCCTGCCTAAATCGCGCATTTTCGCTTTAGGATTTGCGGCGGCTTTCTATAATACAATTGAGTCGACAATTCCTTGGCAAAGTGTCGCTTGCTTCAATAAACATTTAATATGGAGCGAGCCGTGATCTTGTCAGCTCACCTAATAAAGCAATCTAGATTTATTTATTGCTTAATTGGGTGGACGAGCTCACAGCCCACCTGGTGTTAAGTGGTTAGTGGAGCCCATAAACATTTACAACGTAAATGTGCCACCCACCTTGAGATATAAGTTCTAAGGTCTCAAGTATAGCTACAACGGCTGCCCCATCCTTCAAACCGAAACGTATTACTGCTTCTCGGTAGAAATAGGCAGAAGGTGGTACCTACCCGCGCGGACTCACAAGAGGTCCTACCACCAGTAATTACGCAAATTATAATTTATATAGCATCTGTTTGAACTATTAATACGAAACTAGAGGTTCCGCAGTAGTCGAAATACGACTATAATTAATTGGAATTGTAAGTTTGTACACTATTATGATTGTATTTTATACTTCTATAATCACAAATTTCGCCAAGACTACACTATAAAAAATATTAACAAAGACAAACCATATTCTATTCTCAATTTGACAACAGACGTCAAGAACAAAAGTTTGACAATAAATAGTATGCATGCGTGTGTGCGTCAAATACATGGTATGTGTGTGTGTAATGTTTTCTTTATTGATTTAAAGTATCTTTTATGCATTATTTTAAAAAAATATTAGCATTGTGCACTTCTTTTCTATATTCTCTATAAGTGTGGAAAATTTCATACTCCTCCGTCCGCGCAATTTTCTTAAAAAGAGATACAAAGTTTTTGCTTCACGTATTAATAATACGAAATATTATCGTACGCCAGCTTATAATAGGGTGAGGAATAAAACCCGTTTCGTGTCGGTGCCATTAAAAAAGCAAAACTTAACCGTCCTTGTTTAGGTGAAATCCCATTACTGGCTCTACTCAAGCGACCAGCGTTTAGCTTCTATTCGCACGTATAAAACCGATCCTTCAACATTATTCTTATCTCGACCTGAACCTTTACAGGGCGTGTCGAAACTTAGGCAAGGTCGTGTGAATTATTGATACGAATTTTAGTTTTCGGGTAATTTGAATGAGCGTTTAGAATCGGGCGTACCGTGAGCCCGCATTGTAAGGCCCTCCTGTTACTGCAGCGATGCAGTCATGCGTGTAAAGAAAGGATGAGCAACACGCGGCCCGCCAAGCATTGCTAAAATTGAATTTATTTTATCGACTTTCTCCCATCAATTTGTTTTTCTGTTCTTTTCTGTTTGTTTTTGATAAAGAAATAAGGTTTCGTAAATTATTAATATGAGTTACACTATGTGCGGCCCGCCAAAATTCTTTAATTCACATTTCGATTCAAATTATACTCTCACATACTATATAAAAAAAAAAATACAATGGAAAATTATCGTGTTTTAATCCACTTTTTTTGCTTAGGTGGCTGGACGAGCTCACAGCCCATCTGGTGCTAAGTGATTACTGGAGTGGATTACAGCCCATCTGGAGCCCATAGACATCTACAACGTAAATGCGCCACCCAACTTGAGATATAAGTTTTAAGATCTCAGTTACAGATTACTACTTCCCGGCAGAAACAGGCAGGGCGGTGGTACCTACCCGCGCGGACTCACAAGAGGTCCTACCTCCAGTATATTATTGTAGTCGATGCATATAATCATGCTATAATTACTTAATTTTATACAATCATTCTATTTCCAAATGTTAATCGAAGACACCTAAAACATTTGCATAAGCAATAAAATCACCCACACCCACAATCGTAACTAGCAAAGCAATCAATGGACACTCTGAAATCATTCTTAACTCAAAACTAAATGAAACAATCACAAACTGATTGTATCTAAATCCTTAATTCAAACATCACTCGAAAAGTCAACTTCTGATGCCATTAGATCAATCCTAACAATCCAATTACCACGTAAGTACCCGACGTAATGGTTCACTACAATGAGACCGGACACAGAATCAATCGACCTCGTCCCTCAAATCCGCTAACTCAAATCGAATAACCGCTCGATCTAATCAGTCCGGAAACTGGACTCGGACAAGTTGGAGAGGTCACCGATTTAAGTGCACTCCGAACGGGCGAGTGACATCTTTAACGAGGCGACGTCGCCTGGAGTAGGCGTTGAACTTTAATTGGTCATCCTTAAATCGTATAACAATTGTTTCCGTTTGCCAACACAGGAACTATGACGATTAATTATGTTAAGAGTGTTTTAACTTTATTTTTATCCTAACTATGCTGATAGCCTTGAATGGCTATATCAGCTTCGCCCTAACGTGTAGGTGAGCTCACGGGGCTCTAACCGGAGTGTTGCTAACACTGACCTTAGCAAGAGCAGTGCAAGCAAGAGACAGTAGGTATATGTAAATTTCACGGTTTTTTCCCACTAAAAATAACAATACACCATTTTTTATGTCAGGCCTTTATCTGCCGTTACTGTGTCTTTTTTATTTATTTTTTTCACCACGAATATTTCCGAATAAGACGGTCAGTGTATTTGAGCGCTTAGGCTATAGGCGGCATCATCAACCGATTTGTACAGATATCCGAATACGGAAAATACAACAAAGTGAAAGGTGCAAAATATAAATACTTTTGCGTTATTACTGATAATGATACAAGACGCGCTGATATTAATTATGAGCCTTTTCCAGCAGCAAAGCTCTCGTGCCTTCCCCCTAGAAGGGTGACTTAGCTATTATAACAATGCAATGAAGACTATGATGAAAAGTTTCAAGTTAGCTAGTTCATATTCTGATCATTATACGCTCCGGTAACCACACAATAACAGATGGGCTGTTAGATCTTATCTGGTGTAATAAAGAAAGCTAATGAGGATCTCATTATAGCAATACACTTCGCGTGATCAGGTTGACGCGATGCGGCGCCCCGGTCTAAAAGGTCATACGAAACGTCAAAAGAATTGTATGGAATACATTTTGTTTCATGAGGTTATAGCGATTTAATTGAACTAGAGGTCCCGCAGTAGTCGAAATTCGACTATAATTAATTAGAATTGTAAGTTTGTACACTATTATGATTGAATTTTATACTTCTATAATCACAAATTTTACCAAGGTTACACTATAAAAAAATATTAATAAAGACAAACAATATTTAATCTATTCTCAATTTGACCGCAGACGTCAAGAACAAAAGTTTGACAATAAATAGTATGCATGTGTGTGTGCGTCAAATACATGATATGTAGTGTGTGTGATGTTTTCTTTATTGATTTAATGTATCTTTTATGTATTATTTAAAAAATATATTAGCATTGTGCACTTCTTCTCTATATTCTCTATAAGTGTGGAAAATTTCATACTCCTCCGTCCGCGCAATTTTCGTAAAAAGGGATACAAAGTTTTTGCTTCACGTATTAATATATAGATAGGTAGAAAATGCTTTATTGTACACCAAAGTGTTCAATTAGTCTTAGCGCTAGTAGAAATCTTAACAATGCGACTGTGAAGTGAACAGGAATACGTCGGAGAACGATTTTAATTTGTGGCTAAAAGCGAAAATTCTCCGATATTTAATCGGAGCGGCTTAAGTTCGATTCAAATTAATATCTATATTCATATTGAAGTTTTAAAACCTGTACGCACCCAAAGATCCTGCGCAATAACCACTGTAAACTATTATACAAAACAGGATTCACAGCATTCCAATAACTTAACTAATCTGAGACCTTAGAACTTATATCTCAAGGTGGGTGGCGCATTTACGTTGTAGATGTCTATGGGCTCCAGTAACCACTTAACATCAGGTGGGCTGCGAGCTCGTCCACACATTATTGGTGGTAGTACCTCTTGTGAGTCCGCGCGGGTAGTTACCATCACCCTGCCTATTTCTGCCGTGAAGCAGTAATGCGTTTCGGTTTGAAGGGTGGGGCAGCCGTTGTAACTATACTGAGATCTTAGAACTTATATCTCATGAGCTCGTCCACACATCTAAGCAATAAAAATTTTTAAAAAACATTTGAGCAATAAAAAAAATTTAATATTGAAAAGCTATTTTATCTAACGAAATTTTATTAATTCGGTTCGATGGAACGCCATATTAATATAAATTCCACATAAGACAGCCTTAATGAAACGGTATTAAACATATTCTTTTGTTGAGAATTTGTAATAAGATCCTTATCAGGGATGCGACGTAATATTTTCGTTCAATTAAAATTCTGCCCCAGAGCGATCATACATTACTGTTAGGTATTCCAATCAAAGCCTATTATCTCGAGGATAGCGACATTCTGTTTGGGTCATATATGAGTCCGATTTCTTGCTTATCAATAAGCTTTTGTGTCAAAAAATTTGCCATGAAACTACGAGCATTAATAAATATCATTGCATTAGACAAATAATACAAATTCCATGAAGAGGGAATAATTTAAACAATGTGGGATGGTATGGCGAAATCTAGTGGATATTTAATTTAACAACAAAATCCTTTTTTTTTTTTTTTCAAATAAAAAACTGTTCGTAACATTGCCATGTCAATTTATGACTGTCATTTATATTTTCTTAATCTCTATATATAAAAATGAATTGCTGTTCGTTAGTCTCGCTAAAACTCGAGAACGGCTAGACCGATTTGGCCAATTTTGGTCTTGAATTATTTGTGCAAGTCCAGGGAAGGTTTCAAGGTAAATATAAGTACATATGAAAATGATCGGAATTAAATAAAGTTTAGGTCTTTTATTTATCGATTGAGGCATTACGAAGTCTGCCGGGTCAGCTAGTTTAAAATAAAATTATTGTGACAGTGTGAATTAACCAAAAAGTACCGATCTTTCCACTTATATGTACAATGTTATTGTGGCCTTGTAGGCAAAGGAGCATACCCCTGATCTGATGATGAGTGGATACTGTCACTCATGGACAAAAGTAGTGCCGGGTCTACCTCTAAGTACTCTCCGCAATCTTCGTTTCCATATAATATGTATTGATCCCAAAATAACTCACCAAATGGGCGTCCCTAGTGGTGAATGTAACTGGGTCCGCAGAGTCGGTAGCTATGCAGGAGTATTCCAACCTTCCTGTTACGGTTATCAATTTGCTGCCGGTTCTAGCCAAGTCGATGAGGTTCAGTCGAAGAGTGTCCGCTGAGAACTCCACCTAATACATGAAACAAGTCATAATTCAAGTAGTTGCCAGAAAACAATGGGCCATATTATCGTATGTAATTCTGGGACCTTCAAGGGCGAAACTAAAATATGTGTGATCTATGTCAGCGCCAAAGCCTCTAGTTTCAGCTAAAACCACAAAGTTTGAATTGTAAACCTTAAAAAGTTTGCCTACAATTATTGTAAGCTGGTTGGGTGAAAACGATTGTTGCAGTAAATACGATTATTAATTGCCTTACATCACCTTATTTACAAGGGCAGGTACATGATGATGATCTGTTGTAAATATAAAAGTGTTTGTTTCCAATTATTATCGAACCCAAACCTACTTCTCACCTTCTTTAAGCATCCAATAAAATTAGTATGGACCCTGGCACCGGGCAAGGCTCTGGCATTCAAAGATCCTCCGACATGAGCCCTTGAACTCGCCAACATCGTGAAGGACCCGGCCACATGGGAATGATCCGAATATACGTCATCGACTATCGCTGATACCTGAAACATAGGTTTCCCGATTATTATTTTTTATTGCGCAAATGCGTGAACGAGCTCACGGCCCACCTGGTGTTAAGTGGTTACCGGAGCCCATAGACATCTACAGCGTAAATGCTGCCACCCACCTTGAGATATGAGTTCTAAGGTCTCAGTATAGTTACAACGACTGCCCCACCCTTCAAATCGAAATGCATTATTGCTTCATGGCAGAAATAGGCAGGGAACCTACGTGTGCGGACTCACAAATTTTCATACCACCACCTCTAATAGCATTATTTTAAGTTCAATTGTTTCATATGTGCCTTCCAAACGAAAGATCGCAAGCTGGGCTTTGATCACCTACATTACATAGTTTGTTCAGCTATTTAATTTCAGCAGAACTTCCGGATTCCCGGTCCATCATACTAATCCTCATCTTAAGTCCAATCTAACCGCTTCTTCTGAGTACCAACTCCATGCTATAAACCAACATATCATACAAGAGTCGTGCCCAAATCGGCCGCGTTCCGGGTTGAAAATTGTGTCTAATGGACATCGCAGCTCTGATTACTTTACAAAACAAATATTTTCCAGATTTGAGACATTTTCGGGTGCTATTTACGGTATATACGGATCAAGGAATCTTTTTTTTTATTATCTATCATTAATCAACAACATGAAGAGTCAATTAGACTGCATTACAGTTATTTCTGGCTAAATTGATATATTATTATTTGATATTTGGTTTACTTAATTTATAGGTCATTTGAGCTATGGCCGTCTTCGATGCGAAAAATTCAAAACAAAATAGTTACAAGTCGTAGTTTCCTCAACGGAATTCTAGAAACTTATGCTCCAAGTTCACATCACAAAATGGAAAAAAAAATAGTATATTTTAAAATGAATTAACAAACCCATATGCTAGTTACAACACGAAAAAATTCTTATCTTTTAAGTTGCCTTGGAATTTACAAAAAAAGGAAGGACTTTCGTAATTAGGGCCCCGGTAATTGGAATAACATAAACCTTACACTAATTCCGATCACTAATTATAGGAAAACCGCGGCACGTATTTTGAGCAAAAATTGTAGTAAAGAAAATTTTAATTTCATTATTTTAATAAGTGGATTGAAACAATTTTCTTTGTAATTGCCACTACACCATGATTAGTAATATAGGTTACTGGGTGACGTTAATATTCAAGTTAATAACTTAGTTTACTTGAAATTGGTTTTACCATAGTTTAGTAAGATTTTTTATTCTTTTAATATTGCAAATGATCCCGAGCTAACTGTTATTTCTGTCCCTAATTACCGAAGTAATAGCATTATGTTTCTATCGCTAGACAACCTTGAGTTCCAATTTGAAGACTAGGATAGCTGTTGTTCCAATGCAATTACGATATTAATTGTAAACATACACGTTTTGATGACGATAACTGTTTAGCATCAACCGATTTTTCCCTACCTAATCGTTGGTGGCCTAAAGGGCTATTCTAACTTCACGCTGACCGGTAGGTGGTCACGGGCTCAACCTGAGAGAATTGCTAACACTAGCTCTAGCAAAAGCAGTGCTTCGCTGAATCTACTACCGGATCGGAATCGTGACCCACTGAGCTAATCCGCCGAGAAACTCAGTTGGTTGGTCGAATTGAGAGCCCATTTATCTACCTACACCAATAGTTATGAAACCAAAATAAAAACAAACTTTAACTTTATAGATTTAATATCTCAATATGAAGATATACTTCAAAACAGACTTCAGCGAGGTAACGCTTCTTCTGGTTCGCCACTAAACAGAAACTGGGACAAACATAATAATGTGAAACTAGCGGCTATACACAAGTAGTTATAGTTTATATTAAGACATAACTTATTTATTGGAATAATAAACAGTCGTGCTGAAAAACTTTTTAGTACTATTAATACTTATTTCATTGAAAGACATAAAATGCTGCACGTTGATATAATTTAAAATAAATTTAAAATAATGCTTAAATTTCTGTATTGAATTTTATAAGGCTAAATAAAAAAAGGAGGTTTTAATAGATTTTTATGATCTGATTTTATGTTAGTTGTTAGTCTTGATTGTAGAAAAAAATTTGCTTCCAAGCTCCGGAAAAAAACCTATTATCCTAATCAGCTCCCAAATTTCTCTGTACTGATGGTACCATGATAACATTGAGATATTGATTATATGTGTCATTGAGGATGAATTCATTCATGTTGATTCCTATGGACTATGGCAATCACTTAAAATCCGATAAGGGGTGAGCTTCTTGTTCTAGTTTAAAGAAATAGTAAGAAAACGCAACAAAAAAAATTTGGAGATGTCCTTAAAAATACTTGGACTCGTAAAATCGAGCAAAAGGAAAACCTTCTATTGAACTATTCAATGTTGCTGTCATGAATAACACAATAAATTATCAAGTTCATACCAATGAAAAAGATCAATGAAGTGGCCCAAAAGGCCAAGTGGTTTTACCAGGAATCCATCAATCTTTATTAATATTGGCGTTAGAAATTGTGCCGGCGTTCTCTTGGGACTGTTTCCGTCAAGAATCGATTGGGTTATAATATTTCAAGTAATTAAGTATAGTCGGCAGGAATATCTTCAGGCGGCTCGACCCTAGAGTATTTTATTCCCAAGCCCTCGAGATCCGAAATGGTTATGTACGTTTTGGGCATTTTCAAAATTTCCAATTGACCTATAAACATGTCGGATACCTTTATTCTATTAACGGAATGATGCGGTTTAGTAAACTCAGCTATTTTGAACACTTTTTTACTAGCGCAGTGGGAAGATCGTCACATGGTTCATCTAACCTAGCGGTTAACCTGAGACTTCTCAAGGTGAATAACGTTACCCATACTCTCCATCGTAATGCACGAAGGCTATCCAACCCTTAAAGTAGGAAAACGCTAATATTTCCCTTTATAAATAAATAGGATTAATGTACCGCTTCCAATACTATAACTAACTATTAATATATTCAGTATTTGCGAGAAAATAATTTTAAATATCAGACACAAGTTTCTAAAACAGTCTCCTCTGTTTTTGTCGCACAGTAGTGCTTTGTGTTAAGTTAGAACACAAAGTTAGAACATTTAGGTACACTCGAATTCCTCAGACGTTGACTTTTACATGGCTAGAGATATTGACATCTTTGAGAATGCCTTTTCGACCCCAACTCATCAAGAAGCGGTCGAAGACTCATCTGCGCCAAGAATTACTCACCCTGCAAAAACTGGTGAACGAAGTTACCTGAAAAAAGAAAACCAATCAAGGCAATCGCACTAATATACCTATAATATAAATAACAAAACAATAAAAAATCAGTAACTAGGGACTTCATTTAAAATAAAAGATTATCCTGTAGCTACTTTGTTGTATTTTTTTTCTAATTTAAAGCATTGCATAGATCAAAATAGTTCGATCCCCCTTTTAACACGGATCACAAGCATGATGGCTAAGCGTAGTATTTCAATGTTTAATCTTATTTTCAATTTTAATCCTAATTACTAATTATGGGGCATGGTACATCCAGACAGATAGGTAGCACCAACTCGCTACCGCATATCATCAAATGGGGCATGAGCTCACCAGTTTTTCTTAGCTCATAAAAACTATAGGAACTAACCTCTCTACGCGCCCTACCGACGGCGAAAAGCCAATCTCGAAACACATGACTTTTCCTAGCTTCTGCCTATCACGCGAGGAAATTTCACACCCAAACATCCGCTCTTCAATCTCCAATAATCTAATATCCCAAAGGAAATAACCAACAAATACAAAACGAGAAACTCAAGAGAAATACTCGGAAATGTTTCGAAATAGAAACAAATAAGGTATGTACTTACTTAGTTTCCCGCAACCGTTTGTTAAACTAAAGGATTGCCGAGTTAATTGAAATCGTTATCTGAACCGTCCGCTATTTCTTTGAAATCTAGCATTGGATCGATTGTACTCTTCAATTCATTGGCAACTTTCACTATTGAAAGTATTTTACAGCTTAGGGTACAGTACACGCGATTATCAAAAGTAATTCTTATAGGGTCGATTTTGCATCTATCCTGCGTTGATCACAACTTACTATTGAAGAATCACACGAATAAAACGCGGACAGTTTTAACGAAAGGAAAAAAAATTTCCAAATAAGGAAACCAAATAAGAAGCAAATTTGTTTATTTCAAAGGAATCATGTGTCTCGTCAAACGAAATATATTTTAAATAAATAATGCTAAATAGTCCTTTATAGTCAATAATTTATAGATGTAAAAACAATGTGGGAAATTTGGCACAATTTATTCAAAATTTTTCAAACAGTACATTTTGCTTGTATTTTATTTCCACGAAACCCTAACTGGACATTCGAAATATTAACTTTGCGGCAAACCTTCAAATCAGAGCGCTTATTTTTTACATTAGATCTAACAAATATTTCTTTTTCATCTTACTTTCTCATACTCGAATGAATAATAAATAGGCCGATGAACTAAAATTCAATAACGTTCACACAAAAACATTAGGAACAGCACAACAAAACCAGTACTCAATTATAGGGTACAATATAAAAAATATGATTAACCTAAATTGACTTACATTGAAAAGAACTACAAAAGGTTTTATCAATTGATCGATCGTAGATTATCGATAAACCAAAATATAATTTGAGGAAAATTAAATAGAATTCATTATAAGGATAGTGAATCAAAGTGTAATTAATAATATATTACATGAGCACCGTAATTACTTTTGTCTTTAAAGCCTTCATAAAAATTATATTATTATGGAACGTTTTGTTTAGTGAAAACTTCATTGTGCCGCTTAGATTTTAATCTCAATGTAACCGAAACGACACTTGTGAAGCGATACTTAAACAAGACAAATATGCATTTAGAGGATTTCGCTTGCGAAGTAAAAACAAGGTCACCAGACCACGTCGGAAATCTGACACTGAAGATCAACTACTCCGGTGAACCTAGAGACCCTAGACAAGGTGGAAAGATGTAGATGATAACAGAGAAAGCAATGTTACTGATGAAGATTTCAAATACAGGCGAAATATAGGAAAATAATAAGGAAAGCTGACCCCACTACCATATGGGATGATTTTTTTTTTTTTTTTTTGATTAGATGTATGGACGAGCTCACAGCCCACCTGGTGTTAAGTGGTTACTGGAACCCATAGACATCTACAACGTAAATGCGCCACCCACCTCGAGATATAAGTTCTAAGGTCTCAGTATAGTTACAACGACTACCCCACCCTTCGAACCGTAACGCATTACTGTTTCACGGCGGAAATAGGCGGGGTAGTGGTACCTACCCGTGTGGACTCCCAAGACGTCCTACCACCAGTAATTACGCAAATTATAATTTTGCGGGTTTCATTTTTATTACACGATGTTATTCCTTCACCGTGGAAGTCATTCGTTAACATTTGTTGAGTACGTATTTCATTAGAACAATTGATACCCGCCTGCGGGATTCGAACACCGGTGCATTGCTTCATACGAATGCACCGGACGTCTTATCCTTTAGGCCACGACGATTTCTAAATAGCTAGGAAAAGAAAAATTTGGCGAAATAATGATATCGAATACTTCTGTAAATCTCACTTCTGCTGCTTGTGAACTGCACACTTTTTTTATCGCTAACATCGACGAGCTTACAGTACACCTGGTGTTAAGTTTTCATTGGAGCCTATAGACATCAATCAAATAAATGCCACCACCCACCACGAGACATGTGTTCTAAGTCTCAATTTTTACAGTTCAACGGCTACCCCGTCCTTTAAGCCTTACATTACAGCTTCACGACAGAAATAGGCAGAGTGATGGTACCTACCCGTGCGGACTCACAAGAGATCCTACCACCAGTAACTACACAAATATTTTTGCGGTTTTGATTTTTATTACACGATGTCATTTCTTCACCGTGGAAGTCAATCGCGAAGCATTTGTTAAGTACGTATTTCATTAGAAAAAATTCTACCCGCCTGTGGGACTCGAACACCATTGCATCGCTCGAAGCGAATGCACCGGGCGTCTTTTAGGCCAAGATGATTCCAAAATTATAGTACCCATCATGTCAACCATGTATCAAGGGGTTATTTGGCCCCACAGATAGCACAAAGGGACTCCGCATCTCACCTTGCCTGTCTCAAGGTTGAAGTCTGCTGCCCTTCTAACAAATTATTCATCGTAATATGACCTGTCATTGATTTTCGCGTTTTATTCTTCAAGTAACATTCAACTCACGCGACCCGCTCATAAGTCAGAAAATATCGATCAAAGTTCAAAGAACTCCCAATTGTAGCTAATATGTGAACTAGGTGACTCCGATATTGAAAACATGGCCTTTAATATAAAATTTATGTTCATAAATTTCGGTACTTAACTACAGGTTATATTTTATCTTATTTAAGTGAAACTCTTATATCTAATGTCCATATAGTGCGTAGATATTCTACTGAATTATTTCTAATATGCGTTTATTTCTAAATTGATGTCAAATACATAGAATAAAGTCTACTCTATTTGTATACTTTTGCGCGCGTTTCACAAAACAAAAGCCCATGATTTAATAATTAATGTTATGATTTAATTTAATTAGGCTTGTTATATGTGATCTATGATCTATATCTACCACTGCTATGCCTTTATGTATAATTTTTTTCATAGCATCTATTATTATTATAAGCACTAGAATCCTTCTGAAATAAGGAGAGCTGCAACGAAATCCGATCTATTCTTTTACAAATTTTATTTAAAGTTCGAGCGACATTTATCCTTTTCGTAATCTATTTGAAGAAGTTTGTTGAAGGACCTTTAGAATTAACAATTTCACTTTAAATTTCTCGGTAAACACGTTTCTCTTACCTCCTGTATCCTTCTGTGCACCGTTAACTTATGCCACTGATGATCATCGAATCTCGTCTTAGACGGTTTGATGTGCATCTCCTGCTTACCGTTTCCGAGACCCATCGTAAGAGAAACGCCACCATCACGAACCGCTAAATTCAAGTAGTCTGCTTCGTGACCTGGTGGAAAATATTGCTTAATTTGAACAAAAGAATAATTCATTATATACATACAGATTAAACCATCATTCTGAAATTTCTCTAATTGAAGAATATTGTATTCATTCTTATTGTCACTTCACAGGACATTTTATAGAAGCTAATATCTAATCTTAAGTGTTTTACAGAAACATTACCATATTCACTATATATAATAATATATGACCCTATAAACCGGAATGCATCACTGCTCTACGACATAAATAGGCAGAACGGTGGTACTAAAGTGGGTTTCCCCTAGACCAAGAATTAAGTAAAATATATAACTTTTGTGGGACTTTTGTTCTTTTAGGAGAAAATACTTAGAGAAAAAATGAGGGTTTGTATTATTTTCCAAAACATCACCATCTATACGGGTCGGGTTTACTAGGACACACAAAATTTGATAGACTATAAAAGCTAGAGATATAAAAGCTATATATTAAAATATCTTACCAGTATAAAACAACAGCCCATTAGGTTGTCTTGTCTTAAAATATAGTGATATAGTGTCCTGTGTGCTGACGATGGGCTCTCCTCCTGTTTGCGTCAAGTCGTAGGAGAGGAATTCGGCCCCTCGGAACGTAGCCTCCGATGGTGCTTTGTCTGTAACAAACAAAATAATAGCTGAAATTAGATTAACTGACATAATCGACATATGTCCTAAAAGTTGGTAACCTAAAATTTTAGGTACATAAAATTTTTCTATGTTTCAACGCACTTCTTTAACTTTTATAGCCGTCTCTTCTGACGTCCCCTTTGAAATAAAAATGTTTTTCACATTTCTATAATCGAAATGTGGCGGGTAGCCATCATACAACGCAAGATATTTGACAGATGCCTGAATCTCGCTTACGACATTTTCAAGATAAGCTTGCATGTATACAAGTTCCGAACAACAACATTTGGACCGTCGGTCTACCGAGTAAATATCACCCGCTCGGTGGAAGATCTTCCCTTTGTCGTTTAAGCTTCCCAAACTGGTGACGCCGACGTGATATGAACATACAACCTTAACGTTTAAGCTTCCCAAAGAACCATTTATACTTGCGACCAACCACCGCCCACAAAGACCTCAAACCAGAATTAAATCCTGTGCTCTGGATGCCGAAAAAAGGCACACACAGAACAAGATACCTAGAATGCCATGCCAAATACATACAAATGATTCGGGCTGCAAATCGATTGATGCTAATCACTAGACCAATAAGCCGAACAAAGGTAACTTGATGAATCCTATATCTTGTGTGGCTTAAATCAATAGTAAAAACCGTGCACGCCCACAACATGATCTACATGAATCCCCGTTTTTTCTTAAAACATTCTCCTGTATTTCAAAACTAAATCCAAAATACAATAATTTTAATATAAAATCTAATATAATCCCAAATGAAATCTGGCAAAAACATGAATTGCGCTAATTCTAAGAAATCCTCCATAAATGAACAAGAACATTTGAACCGTCGGTCTGTTGAGAAAAGATCTGTAGCAGATCTTCGCTTTGTAATAGGAAACGATCAAAACCATGATTCCTAATTTATGTAGATTACATCAGAGTTCTTTTGTTTCTTATAAAGCCGTGCCGTTGAGTTATTCAAACTCAAGACTGACATTAAAAAAGCGTAGCGCGCGAAGCTTTGAAACTTCAAACCGAAGAGTATGAACATTTTTTTAAAGCTTTCATAGCTTTAAGTTATATTTTAAATTGAGATCTTAAATTAACGATGTTCGTAAAGTTTGCAGGATGGGGCATTTGCACGATATTTGAAGCACAAGGGGCTTATGTATCAGTCCTTCAATTACTACCTTGATACAACCATATGGGCGGAATTTCAAAATAGACAAAGTCATTCATGTTGCTGTACTAGGGAGTGCAGTCAAAGCTTTAAACTAGTGATGAACCTCTGCTTATCAAAACTGGTGGATACAAATTTAATAACAGAGTGAATTCAAGACTGTCTCAACATCAACATGACGGCGTTATTGAATACACTGTGACGAGTTGCAAACTCACATCCGAAACTTGCGCTTGTTCTCACAAAGTTGGATATTAAAGCTGCGATGCGGTTTGTGGTCTGCACTAAGCTACGAGGATAAAAGCTACGAGGATAAATTCTAAATAACTCAAACACAATATGTACTATTTAAAAACTCTTGCGCATAAAAAAAAACAGTATTATTTTTACAATACTTTGCAAAATTGGGAAATTCTTGCCTAAGACTTATTACAAGTATTTGACTGATTTGCAAGGCAGCCAATGATTCTGCTCACAGGATACTGAGACGCTACCGTTGTTCAAGGATATCATCCAGCGTAAGTTGAACTGCTGAGGACTCCTCAAAGCCTCATTAGAATTACGTTGTAGCACAAAAACATCATGAAGGATATTTATGAGCGACGTTGAAAACGACTCAAATCATCTTTTCATTTTATTGCTTAGATGGGTGGACGAGCTCACAGCCCACCTGGTGTTAAGTGGTTACTGGAGACCATAGACATCCACAACGTAAATGCGCCACCCACCTTAAGATATAAGTTCTAAGGTCTCAGTATAGTTATAACGGCTGCCCCACCCTTCAAACCGAAACGCATTACTGCTTCACGGCAGAAATAGGCAGGGCGATGGTACCCAGCCGCACGGACTCACAAGAGGTCCTACCATCAGTAATAACGCAAATTATAATTTTGCGGGTTTCATTTTTATTACACGATGTTATTCCTTCACCGTGGAAGTCAATCGTGAACATTTGTTGAGTACGTATTTCATTAGAAAAATTGGTACCCGCCTGAGATTCGAACATCGGTGCATCGCTCAACACGAATCCACTGGACGTCTTATCCGTTAGGCCACGACGACTTCAATCAATCATCTTAACCAGAATGATAATAATATACTCCGCAAACAGCTCGCCCTTTGCTTTAAGTAGCGTGAATCTTAAAGACGGTCCTAACGCTTCAGGTTTTTTTGGAATATATTTCAAATCACAACCCTAGTCGTATTTATTCAGAGTCTCATTTCGTATGTAATTCGAATAGTAAGTGCACTTGAGTTACACCTGAGCTATACAATAAAGTACTTTAAAAAGTACAACTAACGTATCTACCAGCAGTTGCTTATATAAGCAATAACATTTACGAGTATAAGACAATTGCCCCACCCAAGGATAATTTGAGTAAAACTAATTAAGAAGAACATTCAATTAAAATCAATGCGTTCGTTACATTGCCGTTACATCTTGAAATATGAGATTAAAGTCTTCATTGCATTGAATGACCATTATTTCCATAAAAGTCGCGACAAAAACGGGCGGTATGCTAGTACCCACCTGCGAAGACTCAAAATACGGGTTCACTGATAACGGCCGGTTAACTATTGGTTAATCACAGTATTGTGGTATGATGCTTAGAGATATCTGACACCCATTTTCCAGTTGCCATTCCTCAATAGCCACGGAAAGGCCGTCGCCTTAGAACCAAATCAAACACCTAAATGGTCGTTTTTCAAATGAATATTCCTTAACAGTTTTCTTAAAAACTAAAGTACATAGCATTAGAAACGTTTATATTATGTGGATTTTAAGAGAACGCCACTTGGTTCGAGAGCGCAGGTGTAGGAAGACGTACCTGAGAGCCCATTGTGTTTTGAATAAACCTATTCTATCTATATCTCATATTCCGGATGTATGTATTATAAAGGTATGTCTTATCCTTTCTAATTTAGAGGTATCTTAGGGCTTTCTTCGCCAAGCTTCTGTTTGGATTAAACAAGAGCTGAACGTTAATTCAACATAGATTTAGGAACATGAAGTATGTGAAAACTGTGTGGTCTCTATATAAGCACCACTCCATTCCTTTCCGTGGGCGTCATAATGGTCATTGAGGGAATCAATGGGAGAATGGGCAACTATAATATCCGAGTATTATACCAGTGCACAGCGATCGCCAATGGTCATTTAGTATGGCCTTACGAGTAGACAGTACTATCATGCTATCTTCTACTGCGAAGTGATCATACATTCTGGCTTGAAGGGGGACCTTTTTATTTATTGCTTAGATGTGTGGACGAGCTCACAGCCCAGCTGGTGTTAAGATAGACATCTACAACGTAAATGCCGCCACCCACTCTGACATATGAGTTGTAAGTTCTCATTATAGTTACATAGTTCTATGTTACAATCGAGACCTTATACCTCATTATGGGGGTGGCATGCACAGGGTGATCTAAATAACCTTGGGTTACCACTTTGCACCAGATGGACTGCGAGCTCGTTCGACCATCTATGCAAAGTGTATATATACTTTTTAATTATGAATATTCAAACTCATAAATCTATTTTGGCTTTTCCATTATCGGCTTAAATAATCGTTACATTTATTATTTATTTGCTGAGATAAATTTGTAAACTTGTAATCCACCTGACTAAAACAATTATGAATCTAGCAGAAGTCAGTTCTGGAAACCATAATTACTTCTAATTGGACGGGTAAAAAATGTTGATGCGTAAAGTCAAAAAAGGGTGCGTTTACTTATACGCGCGTAAGAAGCTTTATTTTTATTTATTTTTTTTATTTTTATTAAAATTTTAATCAATTTGAAAAAAAAAAAACGATTAAGCAACATCCTCAAACACGCATATTGGACATCCCTTTTCTTGACATCGTATAAATTCGGTAATTCCCGGTACGGTTCGGAAAGTTCACCTGCGGCTATATTCAGACTCGCCAAGTTATGTCAGTCGTATTGTAATGAGCGATTTAGTGGGCAACTTCATTCTGTTAATTTTGTGTCACGGTGCGCGCGCATCGTAAAATTTCACTCTCATCAATTTTTCGTGGCGCGCCTAAGGAAGTATAACTTCAAAAACAAAGAAAACAATAAGCGATAAAATATAGGTAATTCTTTCTTTGAGAGATAACTTAAAGTAAAACTTAAAAATTCAAACTTAAATTACAGCAAGCCTTACCTGTAGCTCCTCAGAAATATAACGCAAAACATTATTCTAGACTTTAGGAGATATCGTCGTCTCGAGTAACTTTTTACGTATAAAAAAGCCATAAAGCTTATTCTTATTACGAAAGAGGGGAGCTTTCACAAAAGTTGGATTATAACTGTCCCGCTGGGTGTGATGGAATGGCGCTAGAATATTGCCGTAGTTGCCACAAGGCGCATTAAATAAACCGCATATATTTTAAAATTTGTACCGGAAAATTCCGAAAATCTGAAACAGTTATCTTAATTAGATTGATTTTTTTTAATTCGTTCCTCCAAATCAATTAGGAAAAATCAAAACTGTATCCGAGATGTTATAAATTTAAAAAACCTAAAGTAATAAACGATTTGAAATCAAACTATAAATGCAATTCTAGTTAGCTAGTCTTCAACCTGCAAAATCCAATCAAAATTCTTCATTAGGAATTCCGTATGTGCAATTCCACTAATATTATGAACGCGAAAGTTTGTAAGAATGTATGGATGTATGTTTGTTACTATTGCACGCAAAAACTACTGGATGGATTTTGATGAAACTTTACAAATATATAGCTTACACATCAGAGTAACACGTAGGCTATAATTCATAAAGATATAATGTGAATTACCCAAGTT